AACCCTACTACCCGTCCGTACCGACCAACGACACACCGACGACGAGACACACACACACACACACACACACACACACACACACACACACACACACACACACACACACACACACACACACAGAGAGAGCTACCCCATCCGTCACCAAACCTCTAACATCTCGCGGAGACGTACCAGCTTGCCCCACACCCTCTGCCAGTGAAACCGACGAGGCATAGCTCCTGTCTGGGGGGCAGCCGGAAGGGACGGCTACCCCACCACCACCCCACCGGAGCTGTGGCGCGCTGGACCCAGAGCAGGTAATGAAAGGGCTGTGACAAACGACCCCGAGTGTGGCTGGGCCAAAGGGACGCTGGGCAGGTTCACTTGTTTCTTACACATTGTCGGCGAGGGGCTTAGGCAGCATTTACTGCCTTCCCACTCTGGTCCCTGGGGTGGGGTGGGCTGTGCGTCTGCACATAACGCTCCATTTCACGCAGCCTTGGGCTGCCGCTTTCATCCTCTGGCCTGAGCCTTTTTCTTTGGAGGAGCAAGTGCCAGAAGATAAGCTTCTGAAACGAGTCAGGTTCTGGGAGCCACGTTCCCACCAGCCCTGGAGAGCTTTCACACAGATTGGCATCCTGGAGTGAGCCTGTTCCATCTGCAGAAGGTAGTGTGATAATGAAGGAATGTGGGTCTGGGTCGGGTCCCCAGGGAAGAGGAGAGGGGAAGAGAAGGGAGGGAAAGGTCAGGAATAACTGCTCCTGGACAATGCCCTCGCCTGTGACACTGAAGTTACACATGGTGACGGGGCTCTGAGCCCTGGGCTCTACATAACCTGCCAAGTCTTGGGCTTAAAGTCCGATTATAGTTCTGGTCTTCAAGTAACCAGGAACTTCTTTGTCATGCTCATACCCTAATGGTTAAGGAAGCACAGCCTCCCCAAATTCTGGTCCTCCAGTTGGATTCAGCTTGGGAATGTGCTTTGTAAATGGGAAGGGGGATGGTACCCGTCCTCTTTTAACCCCTATGAGGCAAACTGATCCCATAAAGAGACTTAACTCTGACCTTCGGAGGAATTGGGGCACTCAGGAAATTCTGTCTTTTCTGTTTGGAACAGCCATCGTTTTTGCTGATAAAAGGTCTATGGGGTTTCCTGAAGATGCGAAGGTCATGTGAGCTTTGGCAAGGCTCTTAGACTTAACGAAGTGATAACGTGGAGAGGAAGACAAGGCAGAGGGCAGCAGAAAGACGTGGACAAAGTACGCACTGACTTCACGTTAACAAACCATGTCCTGAGCCACCAAGGCGAGGGAACAAGTTTTACCTCCTCTCCCTGCTTTCCGTCTTTAGTGGCAGGATGAGGAAATAACCAGCTGGCCAAAGATCAGGGGACAGGAAGGAAAAGGACGCAAAGCCAAAGGTCTGTGCCGTCCCCTCCCCGGACCACCCTAGCGCTCTGACAAGTCAGGGGTGGCCCTCTGAAAGGAGATGGACGCTCTCAGACCATTTTAGGGCCAGAGCCGAATGTTCTCATTGCAGTAAATCAGCACAAGTACTGTTGGAATACCAAAGAGGCTCAAAACCCACATCAGCACGCAGATTCCCCAACTACCTCCTCTGTTCTAGGTGGTAAGTCCACGGACAGGTGAGTTCCGAGGCAATTCAGATTAGATCCATCAAAAGATCGAGAGAGGAAGGCAGGCAGGCAGGCAGGCAGGCTCTGAATTTTTTTAACTTGGGTCTAACAGTGAAAGTGTGATTTGTGCCATTTGTCAAAGCTGGAAAAAGTCGGAGACACACTGAGTGGCCCCATCCCTCCTGCCCACCTGTGATGCCCACAGTCTGGGGCAAGAAGAGTCTATGGGCAGAAATCTCTCAGAGGAAGAGAGACTTTACAGTTTACAGTCCTCTTTACAGTTAGGCCGTTGCATCTCTTTTCACTCAAAGGAAAATGGCATACAGCTTTCAGGGAAGGTGTTGGAGACCAATCAAGAATTCAAGCGGTAGACGCTCCCAAGAGTGACGGAGAAAACCCCTTGGTAGTTCAGGCCTCAGAATCACTAAGGAGGCAGAGGAGGGCAGAGTCGAGAGCAGGTGCCTTTGACAGCCAGGCCCAGAAGGTCGAAGAACGTGGCAGATGTCTGTCGTTTGGGGCCACCCAGCACCCGAACACTCTCCTGGCGGGGGTAGAAATCCCTCCTTCTCACCGGAGCCAAGCAGGCTGCGCAGCTCCTCTTCGCCCTCCCCGGGCAGCTGGGGAAGGGGCAAGTGGCCTCAGTGTGGCCAGTCAGAGGCCTCCACACAGCACGACTGAGTTAAAAGCCAAGGATCCGTGAGCGATCGTCCTGTGGAGGCAAGTTTCTAGGGGGAGTGGTGCCTGCAGAAGCGACAGCAGAAGCAGCCGCTGCTCCCAGGGGGGGATTCGGGCAGAGCCTTCACTCCCTCGGTGCGTGCCCGAGACTGGGTCACTAGTCTTCCCACAGATTTCAAGAGCTACTGAATACTTCCAACAGTCTGTTTCCTGCTTAAGCAAACCAAGTTGGCTTCTTCTCTTTACAACCAAGAACCCCGACTAATGCTGCATTGTAACAGGAGATGCTTCAGAAAAGAAGCCCCTGCTGGTTTTGAGGGGCCTCTCCAACCCCTGAAGTGCCAAGAGCCCGTCTCCCCGGGCGTGCTCATATGGCCTGCTCTCAGGTACCCGAGCAGGTAACCGAGAAAATCGTCACATTCGTGTCGGCTGCACACACCACGTGGGGCTCTGTCCCTCACGCACGGCTCCACACTCCGCCCTCCGGGAGACGGCCCGCTCACCCCGGCTGCACACGCACTGAACGCACACAGATGACCTAGTTTCATTTCGTGCCCTGCTTCCTTTTTCCCTTTGTTCTAATGCTTCTTTCAGCAAATATGTGTTTAGGAGATGTAAGTGTTCTCCTATAACCCACAGGGGGAATCTGAGAAAGAGCGGACCCCAAAGCCTTCTGGCAGTTCCTACCCCCGTCATCTGGCCAGGGCCTCTCCACTCCAACCCATCTGCAGGGCCCCGCATGCAACTCTGCTGCTTGTGCCTTCAGGACCTTGCTCAGGAGAGAAAGTTCACTCCACCAACTGAGTGTTCTCTCCTCCTCAAGACTCCCGCTCCAGACCTCCCTCCCCTGGGTCTCTGGCTCCAGGAGTCAGGAGCCACGTGGTGCCCTGGGGGCAGCATCCTTCCTCCCCTTCACCAGGAAGACCTGCCCCACCCTCCAGGAATCCCCACTTAACCTAACTAGCTTCTGCTTCTTAAAAGTTGAGCTCAGGCACCACCAGCTCCAGGAAGCGTCTGCTGCCCCTTCGAGGGTGTCCTTCACTCGCTCCAACACCCGACACATGCGCCCACTACAGCACCTGCCACATGGCCTGACCCGGTGTACGTGTCTGCCTCCCCAGGCAGATCATGAGCTCTCTGACGGCTGGCAGTGTGTCTTATTCATCTTCCCATATCAACCCTTGATGCGGTACTTGGCACATGGGTAAGTGTTGAGTGAGTGAGTGAATGAATGAATGGATGGATGGGATCTACCCCCAGAGCTGAACTTATTCTGCCACTGAGACCTCTGCTGTCAGAAGAGGAGACGGAGAAGGACATGTGCAAAGGTCTCGTCCAGCCCCAAGAGGTGGTGAATCACTGACGTTTTCCCCGTGAATCCCACTTAACAACAGGACTAGTCGGAGCTAGCATCCACCCAGCAGGCTAGCAAGCCAGCCGCTCGGCTAAGCACTGCATCCCGCGGATGCTTCTGTGGATTCGACTGACTGCAGATGGAAAATATTCACACACACATACAATTTCAGAGAATTCCGAAAAGCAGAACTTGAGTTTGCCCTAGACTGCCAACTGTTTACACAGCATCTACACTCATTTGCATCTATTTACACAGCACTTACATTGTACTGGGTATCATGAGTAATCTAGAGATGATTTAAATTACACGGCAGGATGTGCATGATTTAATGCAAACACTACGCCATTTTATACAACGGAGTTGAGCATCTGTGGATTCGGTACCTGCAGGGGGTCCTCGGTCCATGGACACCGAGGGAGGATGGTACAGGGTTACCTCACGCAAGCCTACCAACTCCTTAATGGCATGCTGGGGTGGGGACGGTCCAGTAGCCAAGAGCTCGGTCTCTAGGTGACTAAGACAGGGCTGGATGAGAGCACGGAGCGGCTGGAAAAGGAGGCAGCCAAGTCCAGGGAGACGAGAGGGGCCAAGCAATTGGATGCACTCTTCCTGCCAGAAGAGACTTGAGGGACGAGCCAGGGGAGAAATGGGAAGGGAGGTCACCCTCATCGAACGCTCCCCTATGGATCCTCACAAAACCCGGGAGCAAAGTGTTGTTATCTTCCTCTACGGAGAGGAAAACTGAAACCCAGAGAAGTGAAGGAATTCATCCAGGGTCCTGCTGAGGCGGAGTCCAAAAATCCAGGTCTGTTTGATTGCGGAGCCGGGCTGGTTTCCCGCCCCAGGAGGGGAAAGGTCTGACTGTAGGAACAGTCCCCCGAGCAAAACCTCAGCGCTCTGCCCTGCAGGCCTCCTCCAGCCTGTTCTCCTAAAGGAGACAAGGAATCTGTAATCAATTAAATCACACAATCAGTCAAAGCAAGCTTGCAATTTCCCGGGGGACCCCTAATGTTCTCTAGACTGACCTACCAAGGTTGAGGATCGCACAGGCAGAGAAAAGAGGCCACAGTTTGGAGGCCAAGAACTTGAATGCAAGGCCCCCATCAACTCTTTGTTGGCTGGTGATCTCGGGACTTTGGAAACTGTAAAGCATTAAACAAACGCTGTCATAATGGGTGATCTGAGAATCCTGGCCTCAGCACACGGTCAGATATGATCTGGCCCTAGATGTCCACCCCTTCCAGCACATCAACAACCTTCAAAAAGGACGGCCTGTCTCCACTAAGCTGCCACAACCTCTCCTGGCTTCCTGGTCTGTTTATTTGTTCTAAGCATCTGTTTGGTTAGAGAAACACAGCAAGCTCATCCCTTTGCCTGCAAACCTCCCCTTGAGCTGGACAGATGGGCCAGAGAGCGGGGCTCCCAGGGGTAGGGATGCTGAACAAGACGCAGATGGCCAGCTGACCCAGGCAATCCCACTCCACGTGCTGGAGGCTGAGCAACTGCATGGCAGCTCCCCCTCACCTCCGCTGCGCTCACCCCTCTGGCAAGGAGCTCACGGCCCGGACGGGCATCACCGCTGGGAAGCAGGCAGCTCACATCCTCCCCCACCCTCCCGCCTCCCTTCCCCCACTGCTGTCAGCCGGGGGCCGAGGGGCCTTGACATCACCTCCTGTGGGCTGGGCTGGAGGGCTGGGCTGGAGCGCCCAGGATGTGCTACGGTGCCTGTACCTGACCTGGGCTGACCTGAAATGCGGTGCCTTCCTCTCCCTCGCTCCTGTGCCCTGTGAAGTTCTGATTCCTTCCTTAGAACAACTTACCGCCCTCTCCACCCCCAACACACAGGCAGACACCATCTTGGACAGGCAACTTGTTCTCTGTGACACCTCTCCGACTCCCTGGCAGGGTTAAATATTCTTTCAAGTCTTTTCTTGCGCCCTGTACACACCTCTCCTGAGAGGCTGAGTGGTGAGGTAGCTGAGAGGTGGACCCTGGGGAAGACTGCCTGGGCTCAAGTCCAAGCAGTCCACCGGCCAGCACAGAGCTGCTGTAGGGAGAATCTGAGTCAGCAGAGGAGAAGGGCAGCGGCACAGTATTTGCACGTGCTGATGTGCCGCTGTGCGTCTCTCCCCACGTACAGTGTGTGCGCAGAGTATACACACCACGTGCTACACTGTAGAGTACGTGTGTGTGTATAACGGTGCACTTATGTACACACTGCTGATTTACTGCACATAGTTATGTAACTTTATATATTATACAGTAATAAACGAGTACATTAACATACCATATTATGCACTAATAAATACATATTCTATACTACTGACATTCTCCAGGTTGAATAATGTAACATCGTATCGTCATCTGTTTATTTGTCTGCGTTCTTCACCAGACTGTGAGCTCTCTAAGGGCAGGAACCATGACTTCTATTTCATCCACCCCTAAAGCCAGGGTCTGGCACACAGTAGGTCCTCAGTAACCAACTGGTGAATGGACACACACCACCCCCGCACATACACTACCAACTGAGAAGGAAAAGTCCCACTCACCACCCACTCCTCCCCAGCCTTCTTCATTTCCCAGCAGAATCTCAAGCAGAATGCTCCAGCCGAGGCCTGGCTTTAATTTTCCAAGATAACAAGAGCCAAGTGCTGGAGGAGTGCCTCATCCCACTTTTCAGGCCCCTTCCCCCTTATTCCCCCAAGACTCCCTCTCTGCCTCCCTCCCAGGCCCCTCCCAGGCCACACCCGCGCTGTCCCGACCTCCACGCCCGGGCCGCCTTCCTTTCCCACACAGCCTGTGACACGGATGCCGGCTCCGGGGACACGGAGGAAACAGCCACCCTCTCCGAGGCCAGGCGGGCGGTGCCATTCCCACAGCCACCACCCCTCCACACCAACCAGCCCTGCTGGAAGCGGCCCAAACCTCTGCGGCCGAGAGCAACCTCCAAGCCTCCCGTGGCCGCAGGGCTGGAAGGACCACACATGGCAGGACGTGCAAGCCCCACCCTCGGCCTCGCTCCACCCAGGCCTCACACAGACACCCACCTCACACACTGTGCTACATGCAGAAGCCCCCCTCAGGGGCCTCCCGCCGCCTCCACCCCGGACGAAAACAAGGCTCTTGAGCACACAGCTCACTTAACACTGTCCCTTCCCGAGTCTGCGCGGCTGGCCCCCCTCGCGCCCCAGGGCTCTGCGGCAGAGCGGACAGGAGGCTGGAGCCTTGAGCACAGGTATCACCTTGGGGCTCCGCAACCTCATTGGAAGACGTGACGCGTAAGTGGGCACAAACGGTGGGCCCTCCCCACACCAGGCACCTCCTAAGAGCAAGAGAGACGCCAGTACTCCTCCTTCTTTTGCCAAGAAGAGTAAAGTTTACAGCACCAGTTTTGACAAAGTTCTTGGTGGCGCTTCCTTGGGCCCTCTCTCCAGGCTTGGGTTCCCCCCACCACCACCTCCCAGGAGCTCCACCCTGGTTTGTCTTATATATGAACTTCAAAGTAAACTTCAGTTTGAAGAAAGGATGCCACAGTGAAAAACTAACGTCCACGCAGGTCCCAGATCACCAGTTCTGTTGCATCTCCGAATGCAGGGGGTCAACCTGGATGAAGTTATATCCCAGCCCCCCTCCTCCCCTTCAAGCTTCTCTACATGCACGTGTGTGTGTGTGTGCGTGCACATACATGTGCACGCACACACACACACACACACAGACACACACAACTGTCAGTCCTCCAAAGCTGAGGTTTGTTCTTGGCTAGAAAAGAACTACTTGTAGATACGAGTCTTACACGGCAAAGAAGGCCAAGGTGGCCACCAGTCCTCGCTCTGGGACCAGTATTTCATCTGGGAAGGATGTTTACACTCCCAGCATCGGGCTCCTAACTTAGCTGAGATGCAGCCTTCTGCAGCCTCCTCGGACCCTGGGGTCATTCCATCCTTGGGTTTCTGCTGCAACCCCAGAAGTTCACATTGGGAAATGAGGGTGGAGGGCAGGACAGATGCAATCTGGAGAACATTGTTGGGAAATGGAGGAATCTGTGGAGTAAACACTCCACTGTTCTCAAGTTTGTCTTCCCATAAAAACTCAGAACTGGAGAGAAGTGTGCATCTGACCTGCTGGCAGCGGTCATGAGACACCACCGCACGCAGCACGTGTACCAGGAGGGGCTCAAAAAGGAAAGACTGCCTGTCCACGAGGACCCGAGCATCTCAGCGGAGAGAAGACCACGTGTGTCCACAGACAGGCACATGACAGCCCGAAGCAGCGTGTGATCCGTGCCGAGGTAGGGAAGGACCTTGGAGGAGAGACAGGGACCTCGGGAAGTCTTCGTGGAGAGACGGGGCTTCATGAGGGTCTGCAAGCACATGGGCAGGAGAAAGGGTGGATGGGAGGCGTTTCAGGGGACAAAAAGTAGCCCAGGTAAGACTCGAGCAGAAACGAGCAGGAGGTACCTGGAGGATGCGGGGCAGCAGAGCAGAGCTGCATCTGAGGGACCACTGAGAACGGAGACCAGTGTCGCCAAACGCGCTACTGAGTCGTTCATCAATTAGTGCCAGGCAACCGCTGACTCACATGGACAATGTCTTCCTATCCCTCTTCACCCTGTGAGGCAGGTGCTGCTGTCCCGGTTTTAAAAAGGAGGAAGGTGAGCTCAGAGAGTGTCACTTGCCCAAAGCCCCACCCCAACTGCCCTCCCCGAAAACAAGCCTGCGCTTCCCCTCCCCGGTTCCCTGTGCTATTTGGGCCCGGACTTCGTGGTCTCTACGACAGCCAGAGGAATGTTCTTGCCCCAGATCTGGAAAGCTCGTGCAGGCAGGTGTAATGCCAAGATTCATCCTATTTCCCCACCGCATGTATCACCTTTAGCTAAGCTACTGATTTCTCCATTCATTCCATTCACTCATCTGTGTCCTAAACCGCAACCTGACGGAAACAGATGTTGAAAGTCTTGCATTTCAATTAACCACTGACTTAATCAAATCACAGTCCTCCAAGAAAGTGTCAGCTGGAGCCAAAACTGAATGAAGAAAGCGGCCTTGAGCAACAAGAAGGAGATGGTAACTGAGCCTCTGTTTCAGCATGAGGGGCCCTGCAGGCCTTGACTACATTCTGTCCTAACTCCAACCTGCAGGGAACCTACTGTTCTACTGTCATATGAAGAACAGCCCCTCACTGGCTCAGAGAGGTTAAGTAATAGATCCAAAATCACACAGCTAGTAAAGGATGGAGCTCAGAGGCAAACCTGGGATTCCACCTGGCCTCTGTGCTTGAGCTGCCAAAGGAGGGAAAAAAGGAATTGTCTAGAGAATTGTCCAACAGTTGGCCCTTCAGAGAAGCCACTGGCCATGCCCCACCTCTTCGGGGGACCTTACCAAGACTGCACGCCGAGGGCCCGAGCCAGGGCCCATGGGACCCCTCCTGGAAGGAGCCTCTTTGCCCGCAGTGCAGAGGCTCCTTGACATGCACGCCCCCTTGTCTCCTCCCGCTCTGGGCCTCCCCCTCCCAGCAGTGATGCGCTCAGGAACCGGCCAAGGAGGAAGTGCAGCATCAGACAGCAGGCTGCACAGCCTGGGAGCGCGAGGAAGGGCTGAGGCCACAGCAGGCCTTGGTGGGGGCTGTGCTTCCTTCGCCCATCAGACCCCAGACCAGGGCATAGGGCACTGGGAGGCACTGGGAGAGCAGGAACACATGGCAGGTATTTTCCTGAAACTCCTGGGAAGCGGAGGGGCCCTGGGACCTGGAAGCTTAGCCTGGCTTTCTCCCTGATGGGCTATGGGTCTTGATGTTGCAGTGCAGTCACCTGAGTGACCGAGAGGCAGGCCGTGGGGGAGCTCCAAGGAACCCCAGCAGCCCCACTTCTCTGCCCTCAGCTCCCCACCCTCTCTTCTACAAGTGCAGCTCGATGCTAAGCGAAAGGCCAAGGGACTCTTCCATTCGTCCTCCAAACCAGCATCCTCTTGAGAGCGCAAGGAGGCGCCGTCAGTATCGCTACCAGACAACAGCTGTGTGTTGGAGCCGGGGCAAACCAGGCCATCTGCGCCCCCTGGTTATGGGGCTCGGGGCAAAGTCTGTGCGGAGCTGGCCTTGAAGACTTGGCCTTTTAAGGAAAGTCAGTTGATTTTAGTTATGGCGAAGAAGTTCTCCCAAAGACTTCCCTTCCCCAAAGGTCTTTCCTATCTGGTGCAAGGTTTGTGGTCAGAGAGCAGGGTGGTGGGGAGGGGGATTAAAGTCACTGAACACTAAGAAAGAAACTCAAAAACGCACTGTGGCTGTTGTCCTGCGGACACCTGGGTCACACTGGAGCTGTCTCTTAGAATCCCCTCCCCTGGGTGTCTCTGGGAATGCCAGCAGCTTTGGAGGCAAAAACCAAGCAGAGGCCTCCGTTCCACCAAGGCTGTCGCAGAGGGGCCTGTGGGTCCAGCCCTGCCCTCCAGCGGGGGCCTGGCCATCAGATACTTGGCCCCCCGTCAAATTCCCCACCAGCTCCCGCTTCATGGCCGCTTCAGCACCTGGGCTTCTCCCCCACTCTGCCCACCCTGCCCCCGACCCTGCCCAGCGCCTCCCACATCATGTAAGGATCCATCCCTACGAGAAACCTCTTCCCCCACAGCGGGTCTGCCTCCCTGATTAAACCCTGACTTACACAGAGAGAGCAGACAATGGAAACATCTCCCAACGCGCCAGCCCCACGACTCTCCACGCTGCCCACGACCCCCACGTCCACGGGGCGGCCGCTGGGAAGGGGGAATCACCAAAGCCAAACAGTGAGGGCTCTGTGGGGAGACAGGCACCAGAAGGAGCGAGAGGAAAGGGCAGAGGGAGCGTCTTCGGGAGAGCGGCGTCCCCACACGGCCTTCCCCAGGCTGCCCGGCCGGGAAGCTTTCAAGGGATGGATTTCAGAGGAGTGTCACGTTTCAAGATGTCCACCTCGTACGGGGCCAGCCTTCCATGTACCACCGTAGTTTGGGGAGCTGACTCATCGTCCAGCACCCTCGCCCTCCTTCGGCACCGCTGGTCTGCCCAGATGTCATCTCCCCTCCACAGGAGCTCTGACCCTCCAGATCACTGCATGGTTCTCTCAGCTTCAGCCTGAATGCACCCTCCACTTTGCTAAACAGGCACCAAAGCCACATGTGCCTTCTGAGAGCTGGTGATCTGAACAGACCCATGCGGGAGCCTGCAGAGCAGACACAGAGCAGGTGCATTGACATGGCAACAAAGAAGCAGCACCTCCATTCATTCTGGGGGGCCATGGGGAGGAGATAGGGAGGAGGCATCCAAAGGAAGAGGCTGGGGTCCCTCGGCCTCCCAGGAAGACAGTCCTTCCATCAGATGGTTCAGCCACTGCAATGTGCACTCTTCCCACGATGCTCACTGGGCGGTCCACACTCTTCAACAGACAGACACCCGGACAGCAAAGCAGGTGCGCCATCCCTGTGCACACAAACCAAGCTCAGGGGGCTCTCTACCCGGAGTCTGATGCTTGGGTTCCGAGGCTCATCAAGGGGCCGATTAAATCAGTAAGCGTGATTTGCCTCGAGCCCGTTCTGACCCTTGAGAGATCTTCACGGTATTTGGTAACCTGAGTCCCTGCAATCTCTGCTTAGAATTCAGCATCTCCAAGTTTTCTCACCCAAATCTGTCTTTCATCAGCATAGTGTAAGGCCAATCAATCCTCC